AGGTCTCCCCGGAGCTTCCCTTCTCCAGGCTGAACCCCTCAACTCCCCCAGCCCATCCCCAGGGCAGAGGGGCTCCAGCCCCTGGGGGAGGTTTAATGTCAAGTGGCACAGTGGCGTTGCTTGTGGCTAACACACTGTCGTCTCTTCTGTTTCCCGTTGTAGTTTCATGTGGTCCTTTGAGAAGATCCACCGAAGCATCGCGCACATCTTCCAGGGGGAGCTGGTGGCCAGCTTCGACGAGGAATTCCGGATTTTGTTTGCACAGTCTGAACCACTCGTTCCTCCAGCCAATGTCCTGGCGAAGGCAGAGAACACCTTTGCCATGACTCCCTTCGGCAATAACTTGCCTTTCTTTCCGAAAAAAGCTCCCCTGATGTTCCAGAGGGATGAGAATCTTTTTCCCTCCTTTATGGACCGGGTCGATCCAGACCGGTACTTCCTGTCCAACTTCAGGCGCGACGACATGCTGCGCCACACTGTTGAGGGGTCGGCCATGCGCATGTACAAGAAGGTGGAACTGGAGAACACGCAGCTGGATCCCGTCCGGGGTTTCCTTCGTTCCAAGCAGTTGGAGCTGGATGCTTTCAAGAGACACAGCTTTGCAGAGGGAACATTGGAAAATTTTGCCTCTTCTAAACAGTACGCCAGGCAGATGTTCATGAACAATATGGACGAGTTTAAGATCCAGTCGAGCCATTTTCAGAAGGATCAGTTCTACCAGTACCAGTTTGAACACCCCCACCTTTCCGGCAGACCTCAGGGGCTCTTTGAGAGGATCCGCGGGGGTCGGCCAGGATTCAATGAACTGGAAGACTATGGAGAGGGACCCAGATATCCTGAGCTTGAATCCAGTTTTCCGCAGGAGGGTTTCCCCTTAAGGCTGGATTACGTACCTTCCAACTCCTCCAGGGAAGTGAGACACGGCTCTGACCAGCTGAACCCTGCGGGCAACGGCCCCATGGGGATGATGCTAAGGCGGCAGAATATGGGGCAGAAGTTTATTTGCCAGACTTCTCCCACCCAGAAACAAAGCCTGGACCAACGCCTGTTCTTACAGGACAAAGATGAGGACCAAGATGACGACAAGAACACACAGGAAAACCGAACAGGTTTGCGGAACTGGAGGATTTCTTCCTACCTCAGTGCATACCAGTCCGAACCAGAGGAAGGTCTTCCAATGCCTATGGAATCAGAGGCATATAACGATGTTCTTGGTGACACCCTCCCGAAGCACCCCACTGACCTCGTCCCAGCATTCAAATCCCCTGTGTCTTTTCATAGCAAGTCCCTGGGAATGGAAAGTGCCAAAGAATTTGCAGATCCTGACAGAGTCGGTGAGGAAATGCCCTTGATGAAACAGGACGCCTTCAGGACCCGAATAAACCCTTTGATCCAGAGGAGCTCAAGACTCAGGTCCTCGCTGATTTTCAGTGCTGCCAAGTTAGACCAGCCCAGCACCACAATGGAAAAGGTTCAGATGCTCCAAAAAGAACAAACGTCCAGTGAGCTGACAAAGGACAACGAAACTATAAAGACAGCCACCTCATCCAAAGTGGCCGAACTTCTGGAGAAGTACAAGGCTGTGGGCAAAGACACAGAGCGCACCACAGTCCACACCAAGGCCGTGGCCAGTTATCTACAGGAAGAATCACAGAACACAGAGAAGAAGTGCACCAAATCCGTGCAATACAAGATCCTGGAGAGTAGGGTCCTGGAATCCAAAGACTCCTGCAGTACTTACAAAATGCATGGAGAGGCTGACAGACCATTTGGAATGGCCTCTCCAAGCCCTCAGCTCATTGACACGTTGAGTAAAGACCCACTAGGACATATCAGCACTAAGCTGGACAAGTTATCATCCCGGTTTTACCCCATAGAGAGTAAACCGGCTCTTCCAGAGAAGGAGAGTCTCATATTTGTAGGAGACACTCAGAAACTGTAAGAGTAGTATTCAAAGAAGACACTCAGAAATTGGTCAGCACAGAACTGAAGAAGCCACAGATTAGGACAAGTGCCACGTCAGGTCTTGACAACTTGTCTAGAAGTCAGGGGTCTGACAGCTCTCTCAGCAGATCCGAGGAAGACTGCTCCAAACCAGAGCAAAACCCAATGGAGTTTTTAAGAAAAGGCTCACTACGGCTGAAGCAGCTCTTGAACCCCAAAGGTGACAAGAAACTGGAGGAGGAACCCGGTTCTGAGAGTGGAAAACCCGACAAGCAGGCTGTGGTGTTCAAACAGCCTTCCACAGGGGACTGTCAGGAGATGATGGAAGAGGAGAAAGCCCATAAATTTGCAAGCCCGCTTCCTCCCAGAAGCAGCCAGCCAACCCAGGGGAGATTCCCGTCCACCACAGCCAACATCCTGTACAGCAGCAACCTCCGCGACGACACCAAGGTGATTCTGGAACAAATCTCTGCCAACAGCCAGAAGAACAGAGCCGAGCTGGCCAAGCAGCTGCCCTCCACTAGCAACCCCGACCTTTCCAAGGCAACCACAAGCTTGGAGAGGAAAGGCGAGAAGGAGAAAAGCTGCAACATCCACAGGTCCGAGAGTTTTGGGAGCCAGAAACGAAATCTCCAGCGGCAGCCATCCGAGGACAGAGACACCCTCCTGAAGAAAATGGAGAACATGCGGAAGGAGAAGCGAGTCTACAGCAGGTTTGAGGTCTTCTGCAAAAAGGACGAACATACAGGTCAGAGTGAAGAGGAATACGACACAGATGCCAAGGACAAGAAGATGGGAAAATTCATGCCCAAAATCCTGGGGACCTTCAAGACCAAAAAATGATGATCGGAATATGGTTTAATTCCACAGGATCACCGACTGTCGACGGGGAAGCGGAGGTCACCGGTCTGTGGTGGCGGTGAGCGCCACAGGCAATACTCTTCACGGCCCGTGCGCAGAAACGGGCTCAGCACCAGCCTCCTGCGGCCCCACGTGCCCAATAAAGTCATGTGGTATCGGGCGACCGTATCCCAGTGCGTTTCAAATAAAATTATTAAATCGCCAAGATGCTTAAAACCCAGGCGTACGGTGAGAGTCTGTTGAGCTCAGGGGGTATTTCCAGGCCACAGAGTAATTCCACTTTCAGAGGGAAAACATAAACAGCAGAAAAGTCAACACGAGTCCAGCGCCAGGAGGAAACACACAGACGCACCCGCACGTGCCCTGAGTGGAGGAAGTGTGGGAACCCCAGGGTTTCGCAGGAGTAGTCATTTTCTTTGTCTCCACAAACAGCTGGAGAGGCCCCTTTCTGCACGTTTCCAGGGGAAAACCTCTCTTCCTGCACTCCCCCCGGTTCCGCTCTTGGCTAGCGGCACACGCTCAGCTTTCACGTTCACCGTTTCCTAGGCCCGTTGGTCCTGGCTCGTCACCGGCTTGTTTCCGTACACGTAACGGAATTACTGCTTCAGGGCTGAGCTGAAAGGCGTATGGAAAGGGAACGGCTGGTGATGGAGAAAGACCCGGGTGTAGGACTCGGTGAAGCATCTGAAACGCTGTTGTGGCCGAGCAGAACCTCCCTGAGAACCCACTGACCGGGGGGGTGGCCACGCGTCACATCTTCCCATGGGAAGACGAGGAGAGAGGGACACGTAACAGGGTGAGGAATAAGGCTGCTGGAATTGTCAAGCTCAGACGTGTTTTCTCTCTGGTAAGTCCCGCAGCACTTTGGCACCGAGCGCGACCGCGCGGCTTTACACCTCGGGGCTCACGCTGCTGCGGGTGTCCTGCCGGAGAGACGGCAGCGACCCAGAAACTGCGGCACTGCCTCACGCGGTTGTTGGGGTTTTCTCCTCAGCCTGGGCTGCCTGCGCTTGGCATCCAGCATTGCCACACTGGGATTTCCTTCTTCCCACCTTTGTGCTGGAGTCTGAAGCGAGAACAGGGAGGAAGGCGCTCACACGGAACCAGGTATGTCCCATGCCCCCGGGCTTCGTGACGACCCGCTTGTGGCACTGGCTGTGAGCTCGGCAAACCAGCTCGGGGTCGTGATGACGGGGCGGCACGAGGCTGCGCCCGTCCCGAGGGTAACAGGTCTTGGAACTCGCGTGGGGCCGTAGGACTTACTCCCATGGGGCCGTAGGACTCCAGCCTGTCCCAGGATGCCAGTTCCCACGGTAGCAGTTTTGTACAATTGACAGATCTGCAACAATTAATGATTTTGCTGTTTGTTGAAAACCCAGGTAAGTGACACATTGGCTGATCCAAAAAAAGTTAAACTGATCTCTGTATTGATACAGAAGGTGGGAAATCTGCAGGAATCCAGAGGAATTACCATTTTAACCTGTGGAGGTGAAGCTGTAAATAAAGAAAAAAAAGTAAGAGGGAGGGAAAAAGCAGCCAGAGTTGGAGGAAAGCTGAAGCGGGCTCCTCGCGCTCACCCCAGGCTGGCCGGACGTGCCTTTTCACACAGCCCACACGCGTTCAGCCAGTGCTCCACGGGCACCGGTTTTCCTGCTCTCGGCAGTGTGAGAGCAGTCTCGGAGTTTTCCTGCTCTCAGCAGCGACTCGGGGCAGTTCCTGGTGGCCCCAGAACGGTGCCGCGGTGGTCACCAGCGGTTCCCTGCCGGGTGCCACAGGGGTCCCCGCAGGGGGAGATGGGCTCCACATACACCCTACCCCTACTCCACACCTCCCCAGCCCCTCCCAAACCCGCCCGCTCCTGCACCATTCGGTGACGGACGAGTCAGAAGTGAAGCGTCTCCCCTGTCAGACACACGAACATTCTCCAACTCATCTGTGTTTCGGCTTTGGGAGTTGGGACACGCTCAGCCAGGCACGGTCAGCCTGAACGCTCCCAGCAGAACCAGAGCGACTCCGCGGGCAGCGACGCGCTGGGTGCCAGAACCTGCCGGGGCGTATAAACGTTGCAGAACAGCCCATTCCCCTCGAAATACCAAAAGCTGTTGCAGGAGTCCCATGGGTGGCACAGCCCGCCCCCCCAGGCTGAGCCCAGGTTCACAGGGATCTCGGGTGCTGCGTGGCATCGTCACTGCTGCGCGCGAGGCTTTCGGTGACGCTCACAACTGTGGCAGCTCCAGCCGCCCCGTCCGCACGTGGGAACCGCACCTCACCCCGCAGCGCCGCCCCGAGCAGCCTGCCCACACACCCCGTAGTCACCTCCTGCCTGCCTGTGCCTGGGACGGGCAGGAAATGCCGACGGCATGAAGGTACCAGGATAACCCGGGGCTCCTCCGGGAGCTGCATTCCCAGCTCCCTGCAGTTACCGTACTTATGCGCCCACCCCCGGTACCAGACGTGAACGTACTATTTATTTACTTACTGATCTTTGGTGTTTAGGACTAAAAGTGGATGTTCTGGCAGTGGCACTAAATGTTGGAATTTAGTGCCTGATCCCCCGATAACTGTGGTCCCAACGCCCTGGAGTAACAACCTTTTATCGTGGGAGAAGGAAATATTCAGGGGCAGAGCCGATACAAGAACTCCAGGTTAACGAGGAGACTATCAAAAAGCAGCGTTAGAGCAGGACAGGAGCGGTAACGTTTGCCGCAGCCCTGGGACAACTTCATTGTTTCAGCAAAGTGCCGCTTGGGCTTCGCTTTCTGAAAGCAAAAAAAAATAATTACCGTGTTATTAATTGAACCAGACACCCCGGTGTTTCCCCTTCCACACACGGCAGACACGGACTGAATCTCAGGGATTGTCGGCAGTGCAATAGGAAGTACTTCATATTCTGACGTTACGTGCTCGGAAGCTGTTAAATATTGCAGCAGAACCCATTTTAATGAAAATAAGACATCACCAATGGTGTTCGTGTACCCCAGAAGAGTCACGGAAATGAGTGGAAAACAAAATCAAGAGTTTAGTCACCTTGGTCTTCAGAGAACAGCCAGTTACCTGTTCTGCTCAGAAAAGATCCCCATTTAGGGAGTGCACGGGAAACTGCTGAAGAACAGAATCACAGGATGGGTGGGGAGGGAAATTAGAGCCCCCCCCAGTACCACCCCCACCCCCCACGGGCAGGGACC